TAGACAAGTCAAAAGAGAAAAAGACAACATAAAGAGAAATGTATAGCTTCTGTCAGTCAAAACAAGATGAGAAATAATTTATTATCCTCAAACATTTCAGTTATTTACCGTCTCTCTCTACTCCGATGTTGGGCCCCTTAATGTACTCTATTGGTAAATCTCTTTTGTGATGAAACCCTTTACAGCCTCAAGTTGAAACTTTATACTGTGTTGAACCCCTGTAAACCCCTGGCATTGAGCCCCTTTTCATCAAGTGTTGAACCTCTGTAACCCTGGCATTGAGCCCCTTTTCATCAAGTGTTGAACCTCTGTAACCCTGGCATTGAGCCCCCTTTCCTCAAATGCTGAACCCCTGGTGTTAAACCCCTGTAAAACCCTGGTGTTGAACCCCTTTACATCCTATGGTGCTGAAACCTTTACACCTTCCTTTGTAAAAAAAAAAAAAAACCTCTCTACTTTCTCTCGTACTGCTCCCTAACAACGGTAATCAATACTTATAATAAATCTGAAAACTCATTTGGTAAAGAAGTGATGGAGCAAGTGCTTAGAGCTTTCAATAGGTAAAAGGCAAGGAAGCAATTTTGGTTTCATCAGTAAGTACAGAGGCAGTAAGGAAAACTGGATATACATACTGTAGTACTCCCTCTTTATCGACGGATTTTTTATCACGGTTTCGATTATCGACGGATTATTTAGCCGGATTTTTATTTTGGCACCAAACAGCTTCTTCTCCCAGTCCTCTCCTTGAACAGGGCTAGAGGGTACACGTGTTTTTCGAATCGTTTTCAGTTAAAAAACTATTACATCACACGTATATTTTACCTAAACTGCGCCTGAATGAATATATTCTCGGAAATAAATAGTAGTTTTGCTGAAACGTGATGTATTTCAATGTAAAATAGGATAAAATACATGACGAAAACAAAAGACTTTACCTAAGCTTCCGATGTTCTTGAGATGTTACTCGTTTTTTTAATAGTTTTCGGTTAAAATTCTGTTATATTACAATGATATTCTATTCATACTGTGCTTGATATAATACATTCACGGAAATGTAATATTTTTGCTGAAATGACGTACGTATTACAGTGGAAAGTGGGATAAAATCGTGACGAAAACAATGACTTCGCTTTCTTTCGTTCAAAAGATGTTACCGTAATCACTTTTCGAATGGTTTAGTTAAAAAACTGTTGTATTACAATAATATTCCCTCCTAATTGACTTGAATAAATACTTGAATGGAAATATACAATATTTTTGTTGAAACTACCCGCGTTTCAGTGTAAAGTGTTGTAATAATAAATGGTAAACAATTTGCCTTGGGCATCCGGATTTTTGTTTACTGTAAGGACCGATGTTCACTTCAATAAATGAAATCGTAAGTTTGCTAGTATTTTTGTCCACTTATTATATTATTATTTATACACTATTATTTAAGGTTATGTGTAAAGGAAACGCATTAATGCTTAAAGGTACATTTATTCAACATATGCTAATAATAGTTAGAAAAATTACGTAACCATCACGGTATCGACGGCCGTTTACAGAACGTAACCCCCGTCGATAAAGAGGGATACTGTAGTCTATAAAAATATTAAGTTAGTAGTAAAGGAGACAACATTAATGTCTGAAATATTAAGGGAGGTTGAAAATGCTCGGTGGACTATCCAGTGATACGAAAACGTTATCATTTTAATATAAAGTTGAAGAGAATGATCACAATGGAGTACAGTACAGTACAGTACATATGGTGAAATAAATAAAAGCTATATACTTATAGAGAAAATAGAGTGGCAATACAGTGGTCCCTTGGTTAACGAACAGCTCGATTAACGAAATTTCGGTTAACAAATTACCTCCCATAAGGATCTTCAATTCGGTTAACAAACAAAATTTTGATTAACGAAATCTTTACGAACAACACGTTTTGTTGTGAGCATCAGATGATAAGCTGATGGGCTAGTCTGCCAATTCAGTAATCTGTTCTATGTTTACATTCGTTTCCGGTGGAGTAAATATCAAGAAAGTTGTGCTCTTTAATATTTTTGCATGTTTTATATTAAAATTATGAGTCATTTTAACATTTATATAACATATTGATAATATATGCAGTACAGGGAACTAGTTTTTTGTGCGCCCATCAGCCGCTTGACTCAGCCACCAGGCGTCAGTTTGGCTTTGAAAACAGGGGAGTGAACATCTATTTTGTTGGTGTATTTTAATATTTTTGCATTTTTACATTGAAATTATTGGTTATTCTGAAATTTAGTTACCATATTGATAATATATAAGCGCAGTGTTGATTTAAATAAAATAATCTTGAATTACATCTAGTGAACTTAAAATTTTATAAGTGAAATGACTGCATCAAGCATGGGTCCCCTGAAAGGTGATTTCTCCTCCATCCCCACTTCCTTCTCTTCTCCCTTCTCCTCCACCCCCACTTCTAATTCCCATCATCATCATCATTAACCAGGAACCTTCTACATACACATCTCAAAGTAAGTGTACTGTACTTTACTGCATTTTTATTTTTACTTTGTATGTACTTTTCGGTGAGTAGGAACCAATTACCCATATCCCATTGAAAAAATGGATTTGGTTTGCAAAATTTTTGGTTAACGAATGGCCCTCTGGAACGAATTGTGTTCGTTAACTGAGGGACCACTGTGTTTCATAAAAAAAGGTGAGGGAAAAATAATCAATAATATTCAAAAATTAAGTTGGAATGATTTGGATAAGACAATAATGGTGAAATCAACAAGCCAGGAAATATAATAATACTGTATATAGAAAATTTGAAAAATATAAGCAAACAAAAAGAATAACTGAAGATTAAGATAATAAAAATCAAACAACAGATAAGTTATTGCTAGTTGATTATGGAAGAAGTGAGGATTTGCTTTTTAGTTCACTAATTCTCAAACTCTTTTATACCCATTACTAAGTACAGTGCAGTAATATTTTTCCTTTTAGTATCATTTTTCTCTTAATTCAACAATTTTCTGGTTTTTCATAATTCTCGTTAACTGTCTTCTGATTTGGTATATACAGTGGTCCCTCGGTTAACGAGCGCCTCGGTTAACGAGATTTCGGTTAACGAGTTACCTTCCATAAGATTCTTAACTTCGGTTAACGAGCAATCCCTTGATTAACGAGTTTCTTACGAGCCGACCTGAACATGTTTTTGCTTGCATTTGGCGGTCCACCAGCTGTAGTATTAGTCCGCCAATACAGTAATCGGTTCTAGGGCTTAAATTCCTTACCATTTTAGCAAATATCAAGAACTTATTGAACATAATCGAAGGTAATGAAACTAGTTTTATGCTCGCCATCCAGCCTCTCAACACACCATACAGGCGTCAGTCTTTGTGTCTTTTCAGTGGAGGTAACATCTTGCTTGAGACTCTCTTCAACTAAACGCTTTTTTCTGTGTTTGCAAGCAAATTATTGGTCATTTTGAAATTTATTTTACATATTGACAATATATAACGCAGTGCAGTGTTGATTTAAAGAAAATAATCTTGAATTACACCAAGAGAACTAAAATTTTATGGGTGAAATGGCTCCGTGGGGTGACTTCTCTTCCACCCCAATGCCTTCTCTTCTCCCTTCTCCTCCACCCCCATTCTAATTCCCATCATCATCATCATCATCCAGGAGCCTTCTACATACACACCTCAAAGTAAGTGTACTTTTCTACCTTTTTTGTTGAATTTAGGCAATTTTCGGTGAGCTGGAACCAATTACCCAAAAACCCATTGAAACAATGGTTTCGGTTAATGAGTTTTTCGGTTAACGAGCAACCTTCTAGAACAGCTTGTGCTCGTTAACCGAGGGACCACTGTACAGTGTATGGTAGAATAACCCCTACAATTTTTTAAACACTTGTACCATCTAGTGCAGGCTAGTAGTGAGTGGATGATTCACAGTAACTTAAATGTCAAATTTTTAATTAAACCCTCTGAAGAAAAGCAAACTTGTAGCATTTTAAAATATTTCCTTCTTTAAATGTGGGTTTGATTTATATGTAGTACAGTATACTGTATAGTACTGTACACATTGAGCTGCAGTGCCCAACCAATGAGGGAAATACTTCAGCAAATTTTGAAAAATTCATGGCTATTTTGACCCGAGGTGTGAGATGGTAGACAACCGAGATGCTTGAGGAAGACCTAACAGGGATCTCCACAGCTCTTAATTAAAACTACAGTACTGGCCTGACAAACAGTGTCCACATGTATGGAATGCTTATATGGGATTGGGTTTGGAATGAAACTTCAAAAATAATAATTTTTGCCTATCATGGTGGTAAATTTAAGTTTTCTTTATGGATATAAAAAAAATCCATAGCACGTCTCCCACATGTTAAACTTTGGGGCTTTGTGGTCAGATATCTATAACTTAGCAGCCACAAAATATAATGTGCCAGTGCAGTAATTTTAATTCTTGAAAGTAAAAAATAGTTGTGGCAGCCCACAACACCTAAAATGGTTGTGGCAAACCCTGCCTCAATTAGTGTCACTTACCCCTGACTAAGAAATTGTGTTCAGGACACTGACAGACAAGAGAGACAGAGAAGATAGAGTAAAACACAGCCAATAGATATAAATATATACGGTATAAAGGGATGAGGAAAAATTGAATATGAGAAGGAATCAATGACAAAGGGAAATAGAAAGTAAATGGACTGAGAAATTAAGACATTGAGAAACAAGAGCACAGAGGTTAAAGACGGAAATCAGATATGGAGGATTACAGTTTAAACATGGAGGAAGAAGACAAGATAGGAGGAGACGTACCAACACAACAGATGAGTACTGTAAGAGAAAGATAGAACCAAAATACGTCTATAAAAGATATAACCAAGATATCAAACACTCATGGGGATATGATGTGAACAAAAGGAAAAAAGGAAGGAAAAAAATATGATTGAGAGTAAAAGACCCATTGGAAGATAAGCAGCTGCTTTCAGGCAAGTTTTGGTGGTAGGAACTAACTTTTGCCAGAGTCAGCAGGGGGATGGACTTTAACATGAGGCTGCTGGAACTGCTGATACTGTTGTTGTTGTTGTTGTTGTTGTAGATGTTGTTGTTGTTGTAATTGTTGCTGTTGTTGTTGTTGTTGTAATTGTTTTTGTTGTTGCTGTTGTTGTTGTTGCTGTTGTTGCTGTTGCTGCTGTAGTAATTTTTGTTGATAATGTTGCTGTATTTGTTGTTTTTGTTGTTGTAATAACATGTATTGCTGATTGTGTTTTGCAGTTGATTTCATGGCTCCGGCTCGTTCTGCAAGTGAAGCAGTAGAGCATTTACTACATTAGTTACATGTTCATAACTTATCAAGAGAGCAGAGTTATCCACTGGAGGGTTCAAGGAATTCTCGGGAACCAGGATACTTTCCGGAATAATAACAATAGTCGATTACAGTAACTAACCCTAAACTTTACCTCAGGAATATGCTGTTTTCCTCTGTGGCATACCGGTAGGTCTTTAACTCATTTTCAGGAGAGAACTAGCGGTTATTAATGTTATTCTGTTAGTTGTTAGTACAGAGCAAAATTCACAATGGAGTTAGTGCGTGTTAATCCAGGCACTGCTGACTAAGTTTATCATAACATCTTTACCTAAGCTCTCTGACTTTTTGACTCCATTATGACCTGAGCCAGAGGATGAAGCTTCATCACTAAAAAGACTCGGCGAGGTATGACGTGCTTGGTACTTCTTGTGAATGCGATTAATTTCGCATACTAGCTTCACACGTCGTCTTTGATCATAGACTTTGGAAGCTGAATCTCTGGGAGCTCCCAGAGAGGAGGTTGGGGCTATGGAAGACCAGCGTGAACCCAAGTGACGAGGTGCACCACTTGTGGAATTTCGTGGCGTGCCACTGGAAGATGGCCTCGATTCTGAGTCTTCAATGATGGCCTCTGTTTAGGTACTTTGGTCAATGTAAGCTACAGAGATCCCTTAAATGCACATTATTCATTACTGTATATAATTAGACTTGAACATAACAATAACACACATAGTATATACAGTCAGTTCCCAGTTATCTACCTGTCTAACAATTAAATAAGAGAATAAATTTTCATATCTTTAAATTCCTAGGTAATTTTGGTACTGCAAGGAGCCACAGCACTCTACTTAAGTTTTTAATTTTTAATAATATATACATTTATAAATACAGAATCTCTATTTCTAAAAACAAAGTAGAAATTTGTTATTGATAGCATGTTGATAAATTATCTTAAAACTATTTAAGAACTTTATGCATACTTATATAAATATTTGAATTAATGGTAAAGGGAATATATCAAACAAGTTACCTCTGTCCATGTGTTGGAGAAAGCTATGAGTTAAAACATTAATATTTTATGATTGTCATAAGTAAGTATACGTAGTTACCAAATGTTTTGTGAATTTTTCAAATCCATTCATCTGTCTATAATTCTTTCCTAGCAGCCGCCTTCTTCCTCTGGATATCAAGGAAGTTTTACAATACCTGATTTCACAACTACGATTCATCATGCTTTGAGTGATTCTTTAGGTATAAATCTTGAGCATGTACACTCACTTGTTTCTACCATTCACACCTTACATCTTTCTTGTCTATCAGTTCCCATTCATTACAGTCAATTACTGGTACTTGCTTCCAGACATTTTCCTTTCAGATATCAATAGCACTGCAATTTCCATGCATCATCTTAACACATGTAATTCATCTTATTCATATTACTTTGGTTCTGCATATAATGTAATATATGTGTACGTGGGCATCCGCTGGAACTTCTCTAGGAGGGGTAATGGGGAGAGGGGCAAGGGGAGAGGCAGATAAAAGCCTCCTTGGACACAACCCCCCCAGTTAAAGTGCATAGTAGGACAAAATTCCCTCATTTTTAATATTATTGTTTTTCTGGGTCAGGCTAGGTTAATTTTTTTTTATATCCTTTTTTTCACCACTTATCATCAGCTTACTAGCCATTTGGGTGCTCTATCCACTGTTAGTACAGGAGGAAACCGGGAAACACTGTGATGTTTGGTAGGGTCACACTGGATAACATCCTTCTCAAGTGAGTCCAGGCCGACGTTCGAACCCTTGACATATTGGTGAGAGTTACGCGCATTACTGCTGTATTTGTGAATTTGTGACATATGTCAGTACAGAATTTATATAACAGGGTTGGAACTTGGATACTTAGAACTAGCACATGCAAAATAATAGAGCAAAAATCATGAAAATCGTGTTGAAAACAGGGAGGTGGAAAGGAAACTTGACACATTTTTTATATTACTTATATGTTTATTGTAAGTACTTCCCAAGAGATACTGTGGAATAAAAACCGCAAGTGTTTCAGGATATTGTCTGAATTTATCAATCACTTTTTGAATGGGTTCTTGTTTACCATGCACAGTCCAGATAAATGATCATCACTGATCTTAACCAGATTTTTTACCATTTCTTTGTGCTGAATGATCTCTCCACTGTGCATGTTGTCATGGGTAATGTCAGAGCAATAATAATTGTTCTTCAAATACTGTAGAAGGAAACGGATCAGTGTTTAAGAAAATCCTAAAGTGCATCATCTTGGTTCTTCTTTTGAGACCAAATTTCTAATCAGGTGGCTGCTTCACCATCTAAGTTTGTAAATTATTGACCTTTGCAATCTGATGTTTGAGTGTAAGTTTTGCCATTTGTAACAGGCAAAGTGAATACTGGCCAAAATTGTGCTTAGTTTCAGCAGCAAATGGACCTTCCAATGAGGATATAACAGCATCCAAATATGGTATATACACTATACAGTAATTGATCTACAAAAATATTCTTCAATAGTTGAGTCATTAACATTTGAACAGTGTTTCTACCAACCACATTGTCTGGGAAAGGTTAGTTCAATGTCTAGCTCTGCTGCAAATTACGATCATCTATAATCACAATACCTTGACATAGGCAGCATAGTACAGTACATACAAGTACAGGTTGTACCTCTCTAGTCCGGCAACCTCGGGACCTGGCCGGTGCCGGACCATGGAAATTGCAGGACCATGGAAATTCACCCTTTTCCTGGATAGATAGTGACTTGTGCTTATGCTTGGAAGCACTAGCACCACTTTCTCTGCATCATGGTTTCTTTGAAGACATATTGAAGGGTTAAATGACGTATAGTAGCTTCTCAAATTTCGCGAGTTTTTAATTCTTAACGTATTTTATTGGAACACACACACACAAAAAATAAATAAATAAAAATTTTGACGGCGGAAACTTGAATTTTGACGGGTTTGAACGGCCCGCCAACGTGCAGACGACGTGCATAATCGTGTAAACAGCGTCATTTATCTTACGTACAAAAGATTCATTATTGTTTATTACTGAATGTCTTTTTTATTGAATTAATGTTTATGTGTGCAAAATGAGCAATACAATTCATTAATAATACGTAGAATATTAAAACACACGAGGAAATGACACAGCATTGTTTTCGTTGATTACAAAACCATTGACTGACTGGTTCTACATATAAAACTGAAGAAAATAAGACCTTGGTTGTAGCTGTAGTAAAATTAATATGGTTGTTTTAAGTAATGTTATTTAATGTTAATAAATGGAACAATAGAAGTAGCTAACGATAATGGTAAAGAAAAAAGAGAGATAGCGTATGTAAGTGCGTATGCGCACACGTGAAAACATATCGTTATTACTTTACATAAGAATATGAAAGCAACACTTATTTACTGTTCATATATATTTTAATTAATGTTTCTGAATTTGTTCTTATTGAATTAATGTATGTGTGTGCAAAATTAATAATACAATTTATTAATAATACGTGGAATATTAGAGGAGACGAGACGGCTGCCGGCATCGTTTATGTTAAAGCTTACGAAACCAGTGACTGATTGGTTCTACATATAAAACTGAAGAAAATAAGACCCTGAATTTAGCTGTAGTAAAATTAATGTAAAAAAATTAATATGGTTGTTTGAAGTACCTGTAATGTTATTTAATGTTAATAAATGGAACAATATAAGTAGCTAACAGGTAATGGTAAAAAAAAAGTGAGACTGCTCGTACAGTATGTAAGCGTGCACATGTGAAAACATATCGTCATTACTCTACATAAGAATATGAAAGCAACACTTATTTACTGCTCATATATATTGAAGGGTTAAATGTTGTACTCTGTATAGACAAGCAGAGAGAGAGAGAGAACAGCCAAACTGCCAGATGTAAACAAACCTTAATTTTCCGCGGCTTTGTTTTTTTTTTTAAGGGGATTAGCCCACCCAGGCATAGGTCACTGACCCACATTGGGGCCTGAGGGGCAAAAATTTAATACTCCTGTAATAATAATAATAATAATAATTCAGATAAGTAAAAAAAAAAAAAAAAAAAGAAAAAAAAGCTGCCTATCTACCTATTGGACAAACTAAAATCGTTCCGGACCACGGGATTTTCCGGACCACAGAATGCCGGACTAGAGAGGTACAACCTGTATATCTAAAATCACCATAAAATAAAAATGACAACTGATCTAAAATTACAGTACTGTACTAAGACAATAATGCACTAACTTGGCATAAAATCACAGAGCAGAAACATAAAACTTTATATAAAATCATGGTGCCATGGCAAAATCACATCAATGGGCTGTAAACAAATACTGTACAGTACTAAACTTTTGTTACCTTATAAACACATTTACAATACAGTACAGTCAACCCTCACTTTACGCGGTCCCACATTCTGCGTTTCCACGTTTACGCGGTACCCTGCCAGAACCCGGGATGCTCAAATTCCGCGGTGCGTGTACCCCTTTACGCGGGTGAGGTATAATTTTTTTATTTAGCCCATAAAATTCATACAAATTATCCGGCCAGAATATAATTTACATTGCTGGAATTCTTACAATTTGATGATCATTTTGAATATAAGCATCATAGATTTTGCATTAGACATTCAAATTTTGGATCTAATGCAAGTATTTTGTTTACTCAGAGCAAATATGTTATCTTTTGTGCAAAATATATGAAGTGTATATTCAAAATATTCCTGGTCTTGCAAGGAATCCAGCACTGTCAATTATATTATCCTAACTTTAGTCTGAGGTATTATTTATTACTAAAAGTTAAAATCTAGTTTTTTCACCCAACATTTCTCTGGAAGGGAGGGAAGGTTGGGGGTGTTGGGGGGATGGTTGGGACCGACCGACCATCTGGCGCGGTTGAAAGAGGGGGGAGGCAAGGTGGGGTACTTTGATTCACAGATTGTGTTGTGAAGAATATTTTTT